CGAAGACGCAGCAAATTATGTATACTTTCATCATCCGTTGGGAAACCTAAGTTTGCGTCCGTCCACACAGCCCCATCCTGGCCATGGAACTCATCATCTAGTCCAATTCCATTGCACTAGGAGCAGCTGCTTAACCGCACCAACTTTTTGGCATATCTCTCATAATCTGTGTCTGTCAACGCCTCGGACTCCACTTGCTCGTCCACTTCCCACTTCCCCACTTCCCATTATCCTTCTCGGACTATCCAAGCGAAATCTCATTAAAAACGTCCTTGCAGCCATGGGCATAAATCTGAAAATTAAAGCCTCACAAATCGGCGGGAATTCAAGAAGAAAAGCGAATCCCGATTCGTGTCGAGAAAAACTTCACCCCAGGGCCAGTTGTGCGGCTATAAGGTGGCGATTCCTTGAATTTATGACCCTCCGCCATGTCCAGGGTCCAGCCACTGTTCTCTCACCCGGTGCCGGCATAAAAACCCATTTAAAAAGCAATTATTTTGCGTTGATTCAATATGGCGGTGTTTGATGGATGCCAGGCGAGCAGCATCATCAGTGGCAGAACGGCAGGACCGGATTCGGTGGCATCCAGCTGGTTGGCCAGGTAAAAATTGCCAACTGGCCTCCCACTCATTTTTCTGCGGTTGCCCAAAGACTCTTTCATTCAGAAAAATATGTTGAAAAATCAAGAGCACACCGCTAACAAATCTGAAGTGACACATTTACCAAAGCTTCTTAAAAATGGGGAACATGAATACGTTCGCTGCCATAGTATTTGTACTATCTTAACTCGAATTTTAGCCATACTTCTTCTATGAAGAAGTGAAGAACTACACTTTTTCCTTGAATTCGTTATTGGGTATCTACATAGAATACAAATTAACCGGCAAGCTGAAAGTCAGTGTGGTTTAACATAAAGAAAATGCATTTCAACATGTTCTTTAGACATGAGTTTTGAAATTTTATGGCTGCCTTTCGGTGCGCGCACCCACTGTACTTGCCACTGCAGTTGGCTCCGGCTCTGGCTCAGCTTTCAGTTTTCCTCTTTATGACGGGGCCAGCTGCAGGATGCTTCGAGTCCTGCCACTGGAGCCCCCTGCAGCCTCAGCAGAAATCTGCATCTGTCTGTGTCACAGTCGCTGTGCTGGAGAGTAAGTGGGGTATGGGGCAGGGTATGGGGTGGGTATGCTCTATCAACACTTTGCGCCTTAGTGCATGCACTGCATAAAACAGTGTGTCCTAGCTGCGTGTCCTGGCTTGGCTATTGGGCCCTGAATCTTTGGTAGTCATGTAACTGGAGTCCAGAGTAGGGAGCACAGAGTCCGGAGCCCGGAGTCCGTGCCTATCTGGAAATTGTGCTGACAGGCAACAGGCAACATGTTGGCCAGCCGCCAACTCGGTCAACAGTTCGATGACGTATGCAGACTGCAGCCGAAAGTGTCCTGCAGTGCGCCCTGTCCGCATCCTGTCCGCATCCTGCTGCTTGGCCAAGGAAAAACTACGTGCGCAACATAAAAATAGAAATAACTGAGAGGAATTGTCGCATATGACCGGGCTGGAATTTTTGACCGCACATCAAAATTTAAATTAAAAAGCATGCCGGATTAAAGGTTCAACTGTTAAATAAATGAAAATATTTGGAAAGTTTGTGGAGAATTATCATAAGCTCGGCTTGTCATTCGACTAATTGGGGCTTAGTTGTTAATTGGCAACATTCAAAGTTAATAATTTAATTACACAAAGCCTTTAATGCGCTAAACGTCTTAAGATAATTGGTACCGTTGGGATCGTTGCCATTTTCTTTCACAATTAACGCCACATTACTTGCGCGGTCCCTTCCAGAGACAAGGGCATCCCAAATCCAGAATCCCCCTTAACATTCCCTTGCTAAAGCGAATCTATTTCACTTTGGCAATTTGTGTTTCCCCCAACTTGTTCGCTGTCGATAACAATGGATCATCTCGAACCTGGAGCCATAATCTTTACAGCACTTCCCCGCCCCATAATCCTTCATTAGGAGCCTGTACTTTACACTCCAGTTCACACAGCATCCTTCCAACCCATTTGTAGGCCGAACATATTTCAATTTCCTTGGGCTACTGCCTCCTGCCAATTTATTGCCCCTTCATTGTTTTCCTGCCGCCTGCGACAAACCCAAAATGTCTAAAAACATTTAGGCCGCATTTCATTTCATTACGTTTTTATCTTTTTTCGGCTCTAATTTCATTTTGTGCATATTTTGGTCCTGGTCCTGGTCTTGGTCCTTTCTTTTTGGTTCGGCCCGTGCAAGGGCTTAATTAATTCCCCCGAAAATATTTATAACTTTGGGCCCAATACGGCTGCTGCTGACTGCTGAAACATATTTTAATTTCCATTTCTTGGAGTGTGTGCGGCTTGTCAATGGCTGGGAATCTATGAAATTTATGCATGACTGCAACAGGGTCAAGTTGCAAAGCCCTTAGCCTTTAATGCCACGCAGCTGCCGGGAGCGCTGGAAAAGCTGGGAAAACAAAACTGACTCCAACTGAAGCTGAAACTGAAAGAACTTTTAGTCCTACAAGTATTCCAGGGGTTTGCGGATGGATCCGACTCCCCAGATAAGCAGATTTATGAGCTAAACACCGAAACTCAAATAACTGGAGACACAATTCGGTTTTTCGGTTTTCGTATTGGATCCGGGTTCGCCAGCTCCAAGGATTGGGGGTAATGGCAGAGCGCCCGGAAGCGTGAAAGCCAGATAAAAGCAAACACACACCCAGAAATATGCGAGCCGAAGATTTATGAGCGGACAGGACGGGGCAGGACAGGACACACAAGGATGTGAGTGGCGTGGCCCGATGATGGGCAGCAGAATGTCACAGGAAGTGCGAAGCGGGCAACTATTGACATGTCCTTTCCCCCGGAACGAAACAACAAAAAAGCAGAACCGCCCTACCATGTACCATGTACTGCAGCACAAGTATGCTGGGTATAACTTTACAGTTGTGGTCAGGATCGGAGGACGAGGTCGAAGGAACCGAAGGAGCTGCACAGACATTCTCATACCCAGGTAGGTAGGTGTCAATTTCGTTTTCATTAAGTTGCTTCTGCTTGACTTGCTCCTGACCAGGGGTTCTCTTAATTTGCGTCACTTTGCTTGGACGGCGGGTATCAAATTACAAAAAAAAAGAAAAAACAAAAAAGGCAGCAAAAAATCAAGCTACAACTAAAATTGAGGGAACAACTGCAAAACGGCTGCTCTTTTGTAAAAGAAGAAGCGAGAGCAAAAGCGACAGAAGCCCTACTTACGTTTCGTCTTCATTTTGCATTAATTAATACTTATTACAAAAAATATATATATGTATAAATAGTCGAGCCAGCAAAGGTAAAAGGGAGCAAATGGGAGCGAAAGGGAGCAAAAGGGCAGCGAGATGCCTTTGGTCTTCATTTTTGGGTTTTGGGTCTGGTGCCCGAGTTTCGGGCTTTGGGGCTAGGTAAAATTTTAATCACTTCCTTCGGCGGCTACATTTTGGTTTCAGTTTGTTGCTTAACTTGGTTGAGTCCTCCTTCTTTTTTCTTATGGGATTTCTGGGGCTGGGAGGTGGTAATTTGAGTCTGTTAACATTTTTCTGGCCAGGATGGGAATTCGGTTTGTGGCTTCGCCTAACCTAGCTAGGGACTTAATTAAAACTAATTCCATTTAAATATAATAGGGAACATTTTGTGCCAGCGACAAACGATTTTCACTTCCTTTCTGTTTAATTGAATTTTAAGGCAGTCTTTGTCTTTCACGCAAATCTACAAAAGATTCTATGTCTCGGGGCGAATGGCCAAAAGGCAGGGGAGGGTTGACTTTTTGGCTTAAAATCTTTTGGTTTTGTTTGTGGCGAATTGCCATAAACAAAGCCGGAGGTTTTCTAAGGAACGGGGGACTTGAAAGCAAAGTTTGTTAGCTAATTTCTCATATTCCTAGGATACTGTATATTTCGAGAGTGATCTACATACATACATCATAATGCAGTTGCACTTCAATGATAAGCTAGAAACCAGCCTTAATGTCAGATATTTCAAATATCTCTACTTTTTATAAATTTATTAATTGCATAGTTAACATCTTGATTGATTGCTACATGAACAAAGCGTGATAGTTTTTTATTTATTTTCTTTATTTAGGTATTTGAATTAGATAAAAATCCGCATTAATAGAGTAATTTTAATTAAATTCTCTTACCTTTTGCAAATCGCTTTGACACAACAATTACCATATATTTCTATTAAGTATCAAGAGCGTATTATGAGTGCAAATCAGCCGTATGGAATAATTACTTTATAAAAAAGCCAAATAAATAGTATAAATTTCACCGAACAATCCAGAGTATCAGCAAAAAACAAAAATCAATTGAGCCAAATTCAAAACCCCAAACAGAACGGCAAACAAAAAATGACAATCGTTAGAATTGGGAATTCAAAAAAAAAAAACGTCAGTAATCAACTAGAAAATGTTTGACAATTGATGGTTGATTGCAGGCAGACAAATCAGCAAACCCATTTGCATTTTAGTGCCATATATATGTAGGCATATATATACCCTAATTGGCAGGCTGACAGCGGCAGTGGCGGCGATGAGAAATTGTGGCGTATAATTTCAAATTGATTGCTGGCATATGCCAACAGGGCTAATGGCCTTAGCCGGAAAAGCGGGTGAAAATTGTGTAATTTATGAAGAGATTCGCACGACACTCAATTAACATGGAGCCGGGAATCACTGGAAATAGGAGAACCAGAGGGTATCAAGGCTAATTTAGACCAGAATATATAGCCCGCCCGATGGTCGAGGTTGCAATCTAATATTAATGCCTTGCGACCGCCTGCATTTATTGGCGCATAAATCACTGGCACAGGCAAAATCACAGCACTCGAAGGAGTTTTGCTTGGTTGGTTGGTTGGCTGCTTTGGTTGGTTGGTTGGTTGGTTGGGTTGGTTGGTTGGTAGGGGGTAAAGTCGTCTTAGCCAAAGGCACTTACCCATCAAGAAGGCTCCGCTTTGTCGTGCACTCATTAGGAGGCGCACATCCTTTTCTGTTGGCTGCACTCGGTGGTCCTTTTCTTTTAGCATTTTTATTTTTTATTTTTCGTGACTCTTTCATGTCAATTAATGCGACGCACTCTTCAAATATTAGCAGACATTATGTGCCCGCACTAAGCCCTCGGCTGGCGGGGCTCTTAAAGCGTTTCCGGCGCAGGAACCAGGAACAAGGACCCGGGATCTGTTTGCACAATGAGCACACAAATGACTTGCAGCACTTCAGCCTGGCTTTTTGTTCTTTAATCGGGGGCATTATTATGATGCCTCCACCTCGACGCAGATGATGAGAACGACGAGAAGGAGTCCTTGCGGGGATTACGTGTTGACGTTGAATGCGCCGCTGATTCACGATTCATGTCTAGAGTGGCTTACTTCCTCTGCCATCTCCATCTCCATCATCAATCCATCCACTTCCACCTCCACTTCCATTTCCATGCCGAGATGATCTTGATGCTCTGACTGGAGGGCACATTCTCCGGCTGAGGCCTTCCTTTCCATTCACCAGAAGGCTCGTCCTGCCCTGGGAGCACCACTCACACTGACCACTTGGCAGTAACTGAGCTCCGTGCCAAGTGTGCCGCCGTATTTCAACGAAAAGTGTCACCAAGCTCGGCTCGATCTCGGAGCTTTTTCGCAGAGCTTTCGGGGGAGTATAAGAGATTGCTGCGCAGGCGCATCCTTAAATGCCGCTCGGCTTCTTAATGAGTTCGGCCGGCGGACTCGGGCTCGTTCGTCACGGTTCGTGTTTGGCTCACCTCGAGTTCGCACATGTGAAAATTAAAAGCGCTTAACCACAATTAACAATTGGCTTCCCTCACATTCCTTTTCCGGCCGTAACAAACAAACAAATTCTGCTGGACCAAACATTAATCAAGACGGTTGTGACACTAAAGCGCCCATCTATTAATCAACTAGGGCTCAGGAAACAAAAAAAAAATAAATATAAATAGAAATAGAAATAGAAGAAGCAAAGTAGTAAACCATGCCGCACCGGCTGCATTAACTGATTGTTGTTGGTCTGGCCACGAAAACTTGTCAGTTTGAATAAAAGTTTGGACACCGGCCAGTTGCTGTATCGAATCAAATCAAAGTTTGATTTGACAGCCAGACAAACAGACGACGAACCGAAAAGGATACCCGGAATTGATGTTGTTCTTTCCGATTCGCCCAAACTTCAGCTTTGAGTGGAAACTTTGCGGCCAGAAGGCCAGTGCAGTGTAACAACACGGAGTCCATGAATTCATTTCGCCCGATCCCCACCCTCCCCTCCCCCACCGTCCACTTTCGCCCCAAAGCCAATATCAATTTATCAATTAATGCGGCTAATGAGAGGGCGAACTGTGACTCGTTGCTGTGTCACTTAATGCAAGGCTCCAGCAAACACACGTATGTACATAGATACAAACATACGCATGTGCTATATGTATGTATTACAAAATTAATTAGGATTCGCTCGTCATCAACTCTGCCACATAGCGCCATAAATATGTGTGGGCACAAAGTATATAGATTGTCTGCCTGGGCGACTTGGCGGCCATATAAACGTAACGAGATTCCACCGCACGGCAAATTGTTGTTGGGCTTTAATTGACAATCAAAGCCAGTAATCAAATTTGCCTCCTGACATTTTTCATTAGAATTATTATGTAGTTACAGCGAGTATAACCCACTTGCGATTGCAGTGCCCCCCCTCGTTCCGCTCCGACCCTTCCTGCCGAGGACTATATCAACAGCATTATATCGTGGCCACATCAAAGGCGTAAAATTGTGAGGACAAGAGACCTTTAATCAAAAGTTCCCTGGGTTTATGCGTAGTGCAGAGTTCACAGGAATGTCGCGAGGGCAGAGGGCGGAAAATTATAGGGAAAATCGGAATAAGGACAGTCTCCGCTTTCATGAGTACATCTTCTTACTTACTTCTTACGTAACATTAGAAAGCGATGCAGCACACATTTTATTTATTCCTTTTTTATGAACTGACCTTCCTCACTTGTAATTACTATAATTGCCATGTGCATGAGAAAAGGCGGATGGAACCATAAAGGGTTCCTTAGGTATACATATATGTACATATGTACCCCTGTAGTATGTTATTTCATATACAAAAATCTTGTCATTTCTTCCTAGAAAAGCCCTGTTTATTACATCCCATGTTTACTGCAAATCATCATGCTACCATCAAAAGAGCGGTTCTAGTCGGGAAAGAATGACGGAAAATTAGAGAGCTCATTTTTTGCATTTTCAGTTCGATTTGATTCTGGCGCTTGTCATTTAATATCCGCAATTAAAGTGGTCATCAATCAAAGCGAAACCTAAATGAATTAAAAGTAAACGAAAGAACAAAGCAAAGGATGAATGCACGGGGCACAACAGTAAACAGAAGAACCAAACGGACAGGGATAAGCGGAATGGAGCAAATGAACGGGAAACGAAAGGAAAGAAGCGACTAAAAAGGAAACCGAAAAACGGCGGCAACAACCGAAGGATGAAACCCAACACAAGCAGCGGTCGCTTACGCACACAGTCACACCGACGATGACCGTTATCGCTGTCCAGTCCTGCACTGAGAAAAACGTTAGCCTGCATTATAATTTAAATATGAAGTCCTACTTAATAACGTTTTTTTGTTAAATTATTTTAAGCACTTTACTGTAAGTGCTTATTTTGTTTTCACAATTAACCTGAATTTTTAAACGTTTGTATTTTCTATTTAATTTTTAAGCAGAACTTTTCTCCGTGTACCCTTATTCCTGCCCTGCGAGGGTCTCCGCTCATCCAGGACAGCGATAAACAAGTGCTATACAAACAAAGACGGCGCTGTACGCTGAACCATTGATGATTGAACAGGACATTAATCTAACAAAATGCAGACAGCCTGCAGGAGGGGTGGCGGAGTGGTTCCGGGGTCGAGTAAATCAACTGACCAACTGTGAAAGTGTCAAATTTCAAGCCACACATTGTTGGCTCCACCTCCTCCTCCACCTCCTCCGCATCCTGACCATCCGCATCCTTGTGGTTGCCGCTGCTCCTGGCCACGGAGGCAAACATAATTACGCGGATGCCAATGCCATACAGACGTGTATAATAATACAGCAGGATCATATGTATGCTCACATACGTTTATATAAATAGTGAGCTTGGGTTCCTGGTCAGCGTCATTGGCGTTTGCGTCATGGCATAAGGTGAACTCCTGGCAATATTGTGTGTCATTGCAAATTTATGTCAATTTTCCGATACATTTTAAGTGGAGCAGCCTTGGGAGCTGCATTTTCAGGTAGCTATTAATTTGTCCTGCATATTTAAGTATATTTCTCTATTTACTATTAGTTCAAGTGGAATTGTAAATCATTACCAATCACTGTTAGATTTATCAAACTACAACCTGTTGTTTCGTATTATCTGCTCGTATAGGATCCAGTTCTGATATCACTGCTTATCATACATTCACGCCAACCTTTAGTTTGGTCAGTATGAAATCTGGTTTTTCTATGCTAATTTTCAGAGTGTCGCCCTGATATTGCGAAATCTATACTATCCATACCATGTGAGCAGAGTGGCGCAGTGGAAGCGTGCTGGGCCCATAACCCAGAGGTCCGAGGATCGAAACCTTGCTCTGCTAGGGTGATAATATTTTGTTTTCTAATTTGTATGTATTTTTTATTGTGTATATAAATAAGTACTGCACTGCAAGTATGTGAGCGATGATAGGTCGCTCTACATTCTGTCAGCTACTAATGAAGTTTTGTTGGGCGAATTTCAGTGTCAAATCACAAAAGTGACAAAATGCAATCGCTTTCGTGGCTTCAATTGCTGCGTCATCTCGTTTTGATGGTTTTGACACAGCAGAGGAACAAAGGCACCCGAAAATCGCCAGTTGAAGCTGCTCATTTGCTGTCCATGGAAAATTAGACGTTAAATTAGCACACAAAATTGATGCACCAACGGCTTCTGTGAGGCAAGTTGGGTGTTTTGGGTGCTTTTGGGTGGCAACTATGGCCAAGCGACAGCCTGCAAGTGTTAAGTTGCCCAAAAAGGACGTCCTGCAACGGCGGGTGTGTTTGTGCTGCTCCTGATGTTTCTGTGGCGCAGTGACTGATGTGGCACAAAAACCAAATGCCCAGCCTGACTGACTAGTAGCCAGCGGAAAAACACAGACCCAGCCCATTACACTGAGCAAAATGAATCGGATGCTTCCTAGAGCTGTTATAATACATATCTTTGAATGAAGAAATGAAAAACGTTGAACAGCAATAACAGTATATTATTTAGTTTAATAATAGTTAGCACTCTTCGTTCATAGGAATTATTTGAGTTCTTCATTTTTTCTCCAAGTTACCAATTTTGACTGCAGAGGGTAGCGAAACATTTGGACATGCTAACATATTTTTTGTGTGTGCAAAAACCAGTCCTTGGCCCCCGAATTGACACGTACAAAGAAGCGGACCGCTCGTCCATCCGCTCCTCCCTCCCCCTGCCGTTCCCCCCTCCCCGCACCAGTGCCCCTTCTTAGCCACCACCAGCCAGCTGCTGTTGTTGCGGCTGTGTCAGCGGGCGGTTGGCAAATGGGTTTTCAATGGATTCCGTCCCTCGGAAGCCCAATCCTCCAGCCGAGGATTCGATGGCTCGAATTTGCTTCGCCCGCAGCTCGAACAGGAAGCGAGGGACTTGTAGGCATTTGTTCGGTGGCAATCCTGCAGCCCACTTGGTTATTAAATTTTGAAATGCTACACCTTTTGCGGTATCGGATTGCCTACTCAAGGAGTAATCGCTAAGACAAAGGATATACTGCACGTAGATACATACATATATGTGTGTGTGTGCGCTGAACGAAAGGAAACCCTTAGCTATATGCTATCAAAGTTCATGCAAAATTCAAAGGCCCCAGCCAGCATAAGAAAATATGCCACATCATAAATTTGGATATATCACGGGGTGTGTGGGGGTGTGTGCTGGTGTGTGTTGGTGTGTGCTGGTGTGTGTTGGTGTGTCTTAGTCTGTGTTGGTGTGCGAGTGCAATCCTTTCACAGACACTGCCCGCACACAGACAGATGTTGACACAGTTTCCTTGAGCTCCGTCTGAGCTCAGCACAAAATGTCTATTTTAATATGAACCCAAATTGAGGATTTTATTTATGCACGAGCTTAGTTTACAATACTTGCTAGATTTACCTCAAGCAGCTTTTGTTCCCTACTGTACGCGCACTTTTGTTTCTTTGGTGCCCTGTGTTTTCGATTTTATTCACCCTTTTGCCCCATAAAGACGCCCAGACAAGTGGCGAATGACTTAAAAAATACACAGATACGAAATTTTATGAAAAAAATATCATAATAAAAATCTCCAGCAGTTAAAATAATTGTCACAGTAATAAAGCAATGTACGAAATTATAACTGACCCGCCAAAGGGCAGATCGTAAAGTTATTCCTATGGCATACACACATTTCTTCCATTAAATGAGAACTTTAAAAGACTGTGCATAAGCCGCTTTCGATTTCCTGCCATGCCACTCAATTTACCATCACGTGCCCTGAAATTCACCTGCTAAAAGAGCCTTTTCATTGTGCAATTCCATTTAGCCC